CCAGAGATTCTCGAGGGGTTGACATGTAAGTTTACAGTATAGACTTATGTAGTTACAGGAAAACGACCGATAAGCGCCACCTAGTCGCACCTGTTTTGCCTTGAGCCAAAGTAATACGAGTGAGACGTAGATGATACTACACTAGCGTGAAACAACACCCCCTGCTGAACGAAAATGGGGAGGAGTGAAGACTATGTACAGTGAATTTGGGACATACGACGGCAACCGGTCCCCCGGTACGTGCGATTCGAACGAAACCGGCTCCTGCCTTTGAGATGGAGAGGATATTTGACCTCAAGGGCAGAGAAATCACTGACAGGTTCATGCTAGTGTTCACTCGTACTGCAAAGCTGTACATGATTGGAGTCATCTCATGATAAAACAGCACAATCTTTTGACGCATCAGGCGGTAAGTGCACGATTGGCCTTTCAGAAAGCAGAAGCATCACCGGTTGGCACACGCTCCCGCGTGGCGAATCAGCACTACAAAAGTATGTGCGTCTTTTGGACTTGCAATGTGACAGGTACTTCGACCTTCAACATTCGAATTATACCTTGCTGGCGCAAAAGCGAAGTTCGGCATCCGGTCCCCCGGTGCAACACAGAAGCGATCATCAAGGGCAACCGCTCCCGCGGTGCGATGGAGGAAGAACAGCCTCACAGCTGAGAGCCATGCTGCCTATTGGATATTTCCTTTTTGTTTGGGTTTTCGATTTTGAATCCAAAGGCAACGACTCCCGTCGTGCGGATGTTTCTACCAGTTGCGTGAGCTCCACCAGTCACGGTTCCAGCGATCGTCACGCTGCCATTGGCTTGAGCGATCTTGCCACCACCCTTGGCTCCAGTCTCGGTCGCGATTCCACGATGAAGAAGCGGATGACCATTGAGTCTGGTGCCAATCTTCATGAGCACGTGCTTGATCCTGTGAAGCCCTCGCAAGGGCTTTGGCTGATGCGGAGTCTGCTTTCGCTCGAGGAACTACCATGGTCCTAGTCTCCTTGCCAAGCTGCAAGTCAACGTTCGGAATGAAGGCAATATCCTCAGCGATGAAGTCGAGCAGAAGCTGGAGAAGCTCATCTGGATCCTTTTCATCAGTCTTCCACTCAGAGTGGAATCCCAATATCGGTGGGCGCTTTGCGTTCTGGGCATAGCTTGCGGCAAAGACCTCGGGTCGGTAGAGCCTGTTTTTCCAATATACTAGGAAATCTTTGCTCATGTCCGCCTCTCCCACCTTCTCAGGATCGTTGATGTAAATCAGCTTTCCAGCGTAGCGATGGCCGACACCCTGCATGATCATCTGATGCGTTCTTGGTGGGTCCGGAATGACCGCAATTTGCCAATTTCTCCAAGAAGCTAATGCAGAGCGGTGATAGATCTTGTGCCGCACAGTTGAAGGCATACAGAGGATCTGTCAACTGCCTCTGCGAAATGGTCATGCCCATTTTGTCCGCTTTATTCACATGGCTTCGAGCATTTGTCTTCAGGATGTTGATACCTGATCGATTAGCTCTGGGATCATGGCCATGCGTCCCCGCAGGCGTGTTGCGAATGCCGGTTCCTTGTAGCCGATCTTCCTGGACCATATCGAGTGAGAGTTCAACGCCCATTTCAGAGGCGATCTCTTCCATTCGAATGACCTGGGCGGCCTTGCAAAGGTCCGACGCGGTGTTCAAGAAAGTACCGCACTTGCCGCAACACATCGAGCCGAAAGTGAAATGGAGTTCACAAGTAGGGCAGTGCCCTTCAGGCATTTGAATTCCTTCCACTACAAGCCATTGCGTCTTGCCATAGCCCTCTTTCGCTGGATCACAGGCTCTGAAGTCGAATCTGGGCCGGTTGTAGTTCGGCAGCATCTCCGTGGGGCTAATGCTGTTGCGGTTTGCCCGGAAATTTGGCCGCCGAGTGACATACATTGTCTCGAGCACATTGAGATCCGGCAGATTCTTACCAGCCTTCATCTGATCCTTGACACCCTGCACCTGGTACTGGCCACCGAAGATGAAAGGGTGAAATGTGGTCACCTTGCCACACCATCTTTCATAGTCATCGAGGACGTCTTTGGTGGAAGATTCCAACCTTGACGTGATCAACTCTTCATCTCCGGCAAGCGGTCCCCCGCTGCGTGCTTCATGGAATGCCTTCTTCTTCTTTTGGAAGATTGCACGGTAATGGGCATACACGTGGTTGGCATACAAGTAGCACGCATTGGACATGTCATACACGAACATGACATAGCGACAGGAGATCCAATCAGGGCAAAGGATTGTACCGGCCGTCGTTTCCACGAGGCGATGTCCATGGACTGCCATCATATGCAAGTCGAGAGCGATGCAGACGGGCCGAGTAGATGCCATTGCTGCATAGTCTGTCGTGCTGATGCTCCATGGGTCCTCTTTGGTCAGAAACGTATACATGTCACCGGTCCTGTTGCCACCAGGAATCAATCCCATGTTGATGATGTCCTGGATAGATGCATGGTGCGTGTAGTGATAGAGGATCGTTGGCTGAATGTCCTCTACACGTCCATGGGCATTCACTGGCATACGAGGGAATTTGCCGCTGTTATACTCGGCAACGCCATACTCCGGATCCAGCACAATGAAGCGCTCATGCTCCGGCAACGCCTCTTCCACATTCTGGTAAGACCAGTCATTGTGGTGCTGAATGGCTTTGAGGCGCATTGGCGTGTACTGTCTTTTTCCCCCGACCAAAGTCCCCTTTGGCGCCACCTTGATTTCCATCATGAAACGATGGTTGCTCGTGAGGACAACCAACATGTCATCGACGGTCAACGACTGCATGTACTTCTTCTTGATGTACATGTAGACATGGTTGAACTCCATCCAAAGTCCCTTCTGGAATGCCGGTGGTGGGACACGATTCCGCTTGTTCGTGTGTTCCCACCCTCGCAGGAAACCAGAGATTCGGCGTGAAAGCCACACTTGGTCGGAGTTAAGGTGGTCCAATTTGGAGGCTCCGGGCACTTCCCTGGACTGTAGTGCCACCACCTGGTTCTCTGAAAGCGGTGATGTGGCACCTTTCGGCATAGGTGGAGCCTTCGGCTGAACCTTGGGCATCACCTTTGGCCTGACTGCAGGCTTCTCCGTGGCAGAAGTGGTTGTATCGGCCACGGCTCCCGCCGGGCGTTCCTTTGGCTTTGGCTGAGGCTTCGATGTAGGTTTCTCAACAGCAGTGGCCTCGGCTCCCGCCGGGCGTACGTCCGACGACGATGATGCAGTCTCTTCTGAGGACTTCTTGGATGCTTTGGGCTTGGGCTCTTGCGATGGTTCTTCACCAGTTCGTTTGGCTGGTGGCACATCAGCAGGACGAATCTTGGTCCCCTTCTTGTCCTTCACACCTGGATCAGCTCCTCCATGGAATTCAGTAACTTGCTTGAACTTCCTGAGGGCCTCGCCTTCGAGCGCTGGGATCGAATCCTCATCAGTGTAGATTCGAACGATGTCAGGCTCTTCTGGATTGAGGCGTAGCTGATACAATACTCCTTGCACTTTGAAGCCTTCATCACGCATTGAATCGGGCAGGTGCGTGAGGATAGGTGTGT